GGCACCAATTGGTCACAGTAATTGTCTTTTATTGTCACAGAGCAGAAATCAACACGTTACAGTGTTAGACAGCAACTGACACTTAGAAATAAATCATATGTTACCCATAAAATAGGACCTGTTCTTCCCCTTTATACTTTCTCTTATTCCTCATTTAGAGCTAGATCAGGGTTTGGCTGCATCCAAAACTTACATCAATGCATTCCAAACTGTTCTAATATTTTATTGGATTGGTTGCTGTATCCAAATTTGAGTGAGCAGCTGCGACCAAATAGTGCTAACCATTACGTTGGTGGTTGTACATTGTATGTTGAAATATATGTTGAAAATTCTCATGCTCCATTCAACACACTTCCCTGTAGAACATTCAATGCTATATCCTCTCACCTTCACAGCTGGGAATTGGTGCTGACCATTCTCCCGATACTCCACACTCCAGTCTGTCTGATCCTTGGAGCTCAAATCCTTCAGCACAGCTGAAGTCACACGTTGAGTTGTAACTGAAATCTCCAATGGGATGAGAACACTTCTTGAATCCATGTGTGGGGACTTCTAGAGCTGTACATTTTTTAGCTGTAATAAAAAAAAGTGAGGTATACTGAAATGTGTTTTCATGATTAATGTGAATCATCAGCTGGGATTGAATGTGGAGATAGTAGCCCCACTGATGGACTAGAACACCAGTAGCAAACCTGCCTTTGTTAATCAGAGCACCAGGCTTCAGGGTTAGGTACAGGAGTGATGTTCCCATCATTGTTTTAGATTGAGGTCTCATAAATTGCTATTCCCATTTCCTTGATGCATTCTTTCTTGCCAATATCAACCAATGGATCCAATCATTTTTTCACACATTTCGTCCTGTAAACCTCTCTATTTTCCCATTTAATCACTTATGCTTATTGCTTGACAGTTCAACTTTGTTCAATTTAGTAGTGGTGCAGAGAGACAGTTTTAACTTCATATTCAACAACTTTGTTTAGTTCACAGCAGTTGTCACTGTTTTTGAATGACCACCTCTCCCATAAACATATAACTTTGCATATTTAAAATTTCTCAGTTTAACCTATTATCTAGGGAGAAATTGAACAAGGAAGAAAGTAAGTAACCAAATTAAGTCGTAGTGACCTTACGGTGTCAATCTCAACTTCCTTTGTCTCTCTTTACATAATATCTATTTAAAATTCTAGCATTCTGGTAAGCATTTTACTTTTTAATGTTTAGGGGCTATTTCCTCTCACCTTCACAGCTGGGAATTGGTGCTGACCATTCTCCTGATAATCCACACTCCAGTCTGTCTCTCCCTTGGAGCTCAAACCCTTCGGCACAGCTGAAGTCACACGTTGAGTTGTAACTGAAATCTCCAATGGGATGGGAGCACTTTATAAATCCTTGCTCATGTTCCTCCAGCTCTCCACATCTTAGAACTAAAACATTTAGATTATGAGATTGAATAAAAGCTGAAATACCTTAATCGACAAAGGTGCATCATGTCTTTAACTTTTCTAAATCTGCTTCTGAATGTTTTCTCTTTAGTACTAGGCCCATACCTTCACAGTGGGGTCTTGTTGCTGTCCACGTTCCTGTTGCATTGCACTGGAGCCTTCGTGAGCCCTGCAGTGTAAACCCTGCTGCACAGTGGAAGTCACATGTAGAGTTGAAGCTGAAGTTTCCATTAGGATGGGTGCAGCTCATAGTTGTTTGGTCAGGAACATCGAGAGTGGTACACTGTTCAACTGCACAGGGACAATTGGAATAATTCGTTGTTACAATTTTTATCTAAATAATTGTTTAAAATTCATTTAATGAAATTAGAGTAAAGGGTCACTGGTTTAAACCTTCAGAAGTCAAACATAGAACTGATATTCAGATATTATTTGTAACACGGAGTAATGAATACATGAAATGGTTTGCTAGACAGAGTGGTGGAAAACAGAATCCAGGAATCAATTCAACAATAAGTGTCTTGCAATACTGGGAGAATGCAGTTTAGGGGTTTTGTAAATGGATGCAGTAAATTTCCAAACTTTATTACATATAGGGTTTCACTTCTGAAGTGAAGGAAGAACCTTATTCAGTCTACCATTGTTTATCTGATCTAAGTTTGCATTAGACCCTGGAGTTCATGAACTGGGCAGGGATGGGCTGGGGGTTGACTGATCAGACTGGTCTTGTTTCTGCTCAACCCCACAGCCTCTTGCAGGAACTTGAGAATGTATTGACACAGGTGAGATGAGACTGCCCCACACTAGGGTTTTGGATTAAAAAGTGAAGACCAATCATCTGGGGGGGAAAAGTTAAAAAGGACCAACATTAGCCACATGATGATACCCATTACTAAGTTAAAATTACAAGAGGAAAAGACTGCAGAGGCAAATAAAACTGATACAGGGAAACAGCCTGACAACTCTTATAATTCAGATTATTGATAGATAGAGAAAGTTGTTTCTATAAATTCCTAAAATACTTAGAGTCATAGACTCCCTATAGTGTGGAAAGGGGACATTCAGCCCATCGAGTCTGCACTGATCCTCCAAAGAGCATCCCACCCCGTCCCTATAACTCTGCATTTACCATGGCTAACCCACTTAGTTGGCACATCCCTGGATGCTACACAGCAATTTAGCATGGCCAATTCACGTCATCTGCAGATCTTTGGATTGTGGGAAGAAACCAGAGCACCAGAGGAAACCCATATAAACACAGGGAATAAGTGCAGACTCCACACAGACAGTCACCCGAGGCTGGAATTGAATCCTGGTCGCTGGCGCTGTGAGGCAGCAATGCTAACCACTGAGCCACTGTGACATGGTTATGCTATTTCAGAACAGTCCATTTCATACTCTCTGTAAAGATAATAAATCCTTACCATATTCACAGTCTCGCCCATAGAATCCATCATTACATATACATGTGTAATTGTTAATTTCTTCCACACATTGTCCATGACCACTACATGAGTTGGCAGTGCATGAAGCTGAAAAAAAAATTCAAAAATCAATGAATAGTACTGATGATTGTACATGAATAAAAATATGAATTTAACTTCTGTTATAGGGCTGTATAATAATGATATTTTTATAATAGACACTATTTAAACAATTTCATTTTATCATTATACGTACTAAGTACAAAATATTTTGGCTCATGAAAATTACAAATTGGATTATGTTAATGCTTAATCTCATGACTAGAGATAACATAAATTTATTCTGTTTCATTTAGAGAGGAACACTTGAATAATATTACAAAATTGGATCAAGAGAGCGTGAATATCCTCATTGCAATAATTTAGCATTTGTGTGAAATCTTCAAGAGTGACTCTAAGACTAGCATGATAATAATGGCAACACAGAGCAGTGATTAGTATAATCTTTGGTCATTATCCTTACCTACATAACACAGAGGTCTTTTCCTGCTATTGCAGTTGATATCATTCCACTTCCCTGCATCAACACGTCTTTTTATATATATTTCTACACAGTCTTCACTGCCATTTTCTCCTTTGTTATTAGGCTCACCAGAAGCCCAGTTCTCTGCTTCTTTGGTGAGAGATTTATTCGTACCAACCCATGTCCAAGTGCCATTTACTTTTCTTATTCCGATCCAGTAGTAAGATTTTGAAAAAGGTAAGGTTTTATTCAAATACTCAATTTCTTTTGCATTCTGGATTGCAACTAGATCTGTGTATTTTTGTTTACAGTGGCGTCTTGCATTGTCCCAGGCCATATTTTCCTCCAGAATTTGATAGGTCCAGCCGTGGATTCTCTCCAGAAGCATTAGTTCTGTTAAGAAAAGAACAATTCTGATAAATGATGCCAGTAAGTATTCTTCCCATGGCTTGAATCAGTTTGTTTCCCTACTTCCATGTCCTGTTTTGTACTAAATGTTTCATTTGTTATTTTTTGTGGATATGTTGGGAAATGGAATCCTTTCATACTTCTGGTTCTACTGTCAAGATTGAGCAGTCTGAATTCTCTTTAGAAGGAAAAAAAGAGTTACTTTTCCTGTACCCTTATTCCAGAGATGAATTCCATCTGTGTTAATCTGGTATTTTTACATTTTCTATAAAACCATTGTGTGTTTTTTTCTGAGTAAGTTTATCGTTATCTCCAATTAGTGCAGAATTAAATTATATTCTAGTGCATATTTATTAGAAATGAGACCTGAGTAGCCACCAGAAGAGGAGTTTGAACCTGAACTCCAGATGTGAAAGCTCAGTGTGTAACATTATAAATGATCAAGTCCACATTAGTTTCTGGTGTGCTAGCTCTTCTTCTATTTCAAGAACATTCATTTCGACGCAAGACAGTGCATAGAATACGATAAATATCATCTATATAAAACAGTCTTTTACGACTTAGATTTTACATTGCTCATATCTTACCAAGAATGATAATGGTGAAGAGCCACAGCTGACTTCCACCCCTTTGAGTCAATGGATATCGTTGGTTTACCTTGTTTGCCATTTTGCTGTTAGCCTATACAAAATAAGCTATGGTTAATAATTTTCAAGTAGAATAGATTTGAGTATATAAAAACCAAAATAAATATGTAATGTTGAAGTTCTACTCATTTTTTTTTATTTTAAATAAGAAGCCTATAGCATTCATTATTCAATACATTAAAAAGGTGAGAATTGAAGTTATGTTGTGCCAGTGTTTGCATTTCACAGGCTAACAGTTTCCTTCAAACACCCAAGGAAATTCATATAAGTACACTAAACAACTGTACACTTAATACTGCAATACCAAACTACGATTTCCTCTGCACCATAACTGTAACAGCTTAACAAATTCACTTTAACTCAAAGTGGTCCCAGGCTGTATATTGAAACAGTCTTCACCCTTGATCAATTAGTATTGCTATCTCGGCTATAAATCTAACGCTGATCAAAAGCACAATTGTTACAATCTTCATATAAAAAATAACAATCTCATCATCACAACCAGTGCAATGTGAAATGTACAAAGTTTCCAATCACAGAGTTTTTGAACTTCATTTTGAATTTTAGCAGAAATGGATTGTCCCATCAGCTGTCTGCTGGCATTACAATTTAACCAGTGTCTGGCTATGGGTCAGTGAAGTTGGTGCAGATGTGTAGAGCTCCAATTTTCCTAAGTCAGCCATGGACATATACTGACTGTATAACTTGACACTACTAGTTCCTCTTCACTCTAAGGAGATACCAACCTCTTATCAGTGTCTGTGCTCAGAGGGGCTCAGGCTAGGGGCCACAACTAGCTTCAACACAGGGCTCAAGAGAGGACGAATTTGCCAGAGAAGCCCATTCCAGATTGCTATCCAGTAGCATCAACTGGATAATACTTTGTTTCATCATTGAATGATGTGACAATTTGATCTCAGTTGTGGTGACCTTGTCACTGAATAGGTTGTTTAGGACAATGTGACTATTGGACCACACTTCAAACACAAAGGGAGTTAAAAGCAGGAGAAAAGAGCTTTCAAACAAACAATAAAATAAAATTTGATAAAAGCCATTCAAAGAAATTGGATGCAGTAAAGCACATAGTCTTAGTTTAATTCTGGCTTACCTTAACAGATTAAGAGATCACTGCGGTTGGTCCTGCTGCTCAGCAAATGTTCAGTTGAAGTTTGGGTGATTTTGAGTGAAGGTTTCTGGCCGTCTATCTGCACAGAAAAGAAGCAATGCCCAAAAAGATTATCTTTGCAGACAGACATTTTCACTGCAGCTGCTAGCTAACTTTATATCCTTGTTCATGCAAGCAATTACACAACTTCCTGGCCTTCCCAGAAAATTCCCAGTGACGTTGACTGATTAGAATAAAATAGACGGAACTCCACTCTCAAATACCCCAAGGTATAAGGACAGACATCAAAGATTTTATCTGTCACCTATTATGAAATTAATATAGCCATCAGCCTTTTATGTCTTTTCTTTCCTGCGATTTTCTTTTTTTCTGTACAACCTTTCAACAAAATTAGGATTATAATTCAAAGTATTTGGTCATCTGAGCAATATTGCAATTGAACTGAATTGAGCTTCGGATTTCATAGCCTCTCCAGCACTATTCCCATTCATCTATGTAATATCAGCCATCTCTACCTGTTCCAACTCCTTAGTACAGTTCTCTAAGATTGCTGACCATTTGTCCACTCAACATTTTCTGCATGGTCATGCCTTGACTGTCTTGACTTTAAACACTGGAAATTTGTTAATAAATCACTCTGCTTTTCCACACTTATTCAGATAGTTCCTAAAATCGACTGCTTTGACCATCCTTTTAAATGCCCCAATATTTCCTCTTTACTCAGCCACTGAAATTGTGTCTGATAACTGTCCTGCAAAAGGTCTTGTTTTATGTTAATGATGCTATGTAAGAGTAAGTTATTATTGTTGTTGGCAACATTTGATGATAAGTCTTTTTCTGCTAATGCATCATACAATCCAATAGCATGACTGTAATAAATTAGAGTAAAATCACAGAGTGTTACTGCTCTAATTCATTTCAGAACAATGGGTGAGCATGAGTACAAAAGATTATTTGTTCAATAGCTCATAATTACACACAATCATTTATTTATTAGTAATTGCTTGTTAGGCCTTGGTCTTTTGTTGGTCAGTTGCAAAATACACTTTCATTTTGAATGTGTATTTAAATCAAATTTCTTCTTGATTAAAAATTATTCTAAAATGGATTAGAGCATGTGATTTGACATTGTTTTGCAGGAGGGGATTCATAAGAAAGCATGCACTAACAAACTTCATGGAGTGAAAAGATAGCTCTTGTTGATTTTTCTAATCACCCTGTTCAGACATGCTATAAGAGTTCTGTGAAGCAGTTAGATCTTGAACCTGGGACTCTTAGCCCAGAGGCGGGGACACTACCACTGTGTCAAAAAAGCCCTTTCTTACTCCCTGTGTTTTAGTTACATTTTAATTGCATGCTGGTGATGGCCATTAACTGGCAGCTCACATGTGTCCCAGTAAATGGAAATAGATTGAAACTGACATTATTGAGTAATGAGGAATATATTTGGAATGTGTATTTTGGTAAATAAATGTTTAGAAAAGTGTGCAGAGATAGGCTCCTGTTCTATCCTGTAACACATGGCTTTCTGAGTGTAACAATCCTTGGCAGGAATCCATTCAATATTAATTTTATTGTCTGAATTCCAGTGAATGTTACCAGGATATTCAACCAGGGGTGCGAAAGTTAAGAGAACTTGGTCTTTGAGCATCCACTGGTCAGATGCATTTGTCCTTTTACCTATCCCTGTCACCCATCCAATTTTCTCCTGTCTCCTGTAGATCCTGACTTTTTCTTGGGTGTAGTTCCATTGTGACAAATCCAATTTTCCATCTTCACAAAGTAGCAATATTCATATGTACGTATAAAAAGTGACAGCTGAATCTGCAATGATGGCACCAATGCTAGGTTTGATCATATCCTGACTGGACACGTTGGAGTCTGTGGATACCAGTCAGGAACCTAGTTCCTGGCCAAGTTTCCTTTTCTTAAGTTTCACAATCCTGGCCAGAAATGTCCGGACTCTTCATGAACAAAAAAGCGAATCTGGGATTTTCCTGACCTGCGTGGATTAGGTGCAAATTTGATGTTGTATTTACCCCGGAAGGAACCTTCAACCTGCTTTTCTCATTTCAGTATGTTTCTGTGTGTTAAAAGGCCTATTTAAAACAAACATTTCCGTTAGTTTGTATGAGTTTTAATAGAAAAGAAATTCCAGACAGACAGCCAAAAGTGCATTGCATCTCTCCTGGCAGTAACTGATGGTATTCCATCAAGGAAGGAAATGTAAACTTGTCTAAATAAAGGCTTCTTTGTCCTCTTTCCGTAAGACAGCCTGTCACTGGATACACACTAAAGAAAATGTTGAACAGAGCTGGAAATGCCTTTGTAATCCTTTTTGGAGTTAATGCAAATGTTATTTTGTGTTTGTTGTTATCACATGCACTGGATGAAAGATAAAGATACACTCTGATCTATGTCAGATGTTTGTGCCTGCCAGCTTCTGTATGTATGGAATTCTTCACAATATGATACATGCCTCTCTTCCATTTCATAAATATCTGTCAGCTTTTGTATTTATGTAGTGTTCAAAGGTTGAATCAATTCAATTGATGTCATGTGTTTTGAAAATGTTGAAATAGGTCTGCAGTTCTGGCAGCATCTGTTGAGCAAGGAACAGAAGTACCATGGCAGGTAGATGGCCTTCCATCTGAATGTAAGTGCAGTGATTATAACAAGGTCAACCAGGTGGACATCATAGCATGTGAGTTCCCCGACTGGGCTGTTAATCTGGTACAATCAGGGAGCCCTTGTGACAGATTTAAACAGGAACGTCTTTCCCTCAGGACCTGGGGTGGAGGATGGTGCACACTGCAGATAGCGGTGGTTCATGGTCTCCCAGCCGGACTGCTTATTATGCATTGCTGTGGAGTCTGCTGACCCTCTATACATTGGTTTGGGCCATTTGCACTCCCTTTTTAGTTACTTGAAAAACCTTTGGTTATGTTTTTAGTTGCATTTCAGGTCCACGCTCTTGATATTTGGGCACCCGGTGTGGAGGTGTGCAGGCAGATCAGAGACCTCCTTATGGGTCTGCTTCTGGGTCTGGCCAGGCTGGCTATAAACAGATCCAGGCAATGGGCCATGTAGGGGGGCATCTCTGCCAACTGCTTGCCCCTCTTCCATGGTTACATTCAAGCCTGGGTGTCATTGGGTAGGGAGCACACAGTCCACCAATTGATGCCCTTAGGGAGAAGTGGGCACTGCGGGGATGGAATGCTTTATTTCCCCTTCCAACTCTGTTTTGATTTTGTCCCCCTTTTTCTCTCCCTGCCCCCTTCACTTTTTGATGTAAGCATTACTTTATCAGGCTTTGCTTGTTAATGTTTCACTAGCCACGTGGATGTTTTGCTGGTGGTGAAAAATATATAATGAGTGTTTGCACAATAGTATCTTTTTACTGTGTCACTGTATAAAAGAAATGAACAGGACTGTCGGACATCTTGTTCACTCTGAGGGAGCTGGTTCTGAGGGAGCTGGATTAGTGTCGAGGGCTCTCCATATGTAAATAAAGGTTGACTTGGTGACGGGATACCAGCCTCTATAGAGTTAAGTAAGTTTTGTGCCTGTTTCTACTGCACATGTGTAGTGTTCCTGGGTATTATGCATTTAAGAGGAAGCTGGCTAAGTACAGGAAGGAGGGAGGGGATCAGAAGTGTTTGCTGGAAGGTATCATCGATTGCACCTTTGCTCTCCTACCCAATCTTCATACATCTTGATTTCATAGAGCCCAAAATTCTATCTAGTTTTGCTAATTCATACCTAGCTTTCCAGCCTCTCCCCTCTAGCCAATAACCCACTTTTCCCTGCCTGTTTGTCTGTTTGTGAGCGTGTGTGTGTAAGGGGAAGTTTATAAGGGAGATTAGAGTTTAATTTGTAGTGATATATGCCAATGATTTATAATTGTTTAGCCATAGCTAGACTTTCCTTGCTTGTAGTAAACAGTCATTCTTGTTCAGTACAGAAACCTAGTCTGTGCTTTCTAGCAACCTGGTTTTGAGAAACAGGTAAATTGGGGAACTTTCCACACTTTTTAAAAGCCTTTAACTTTTGTGTGACCTTGGGAATGGTGGGGCGTAACATTTGCTGTGCAACCACACTGCGTTGTGACAAGTTTGTTCTGCATTTTAACTTCCACAGTCACTTGATTTTTGAGCCACTGAGAGTGAGGCCTCTGGATTTTATTTTTGTTGACCGTACTTATTTAATATAGGCTTCCCAAAGATTGATGATCATGCAGACACCACAAGGCTCCAGGACTCTGGAGTGTCTGTATTGAGAAAGCAGCAGTAGACATCAATCTCAACATTGGGACTCAGCTCTTACCTGCTCTTGGAATGTTTGGGTATATTCTAAAATGCACCAAACCACCCAGGATGAAAGGGGAAAGGGCAACATGTGAGATTTGAAATAGGTTCCAAAGAAACTAAAACAGAAGTTGCTGGAGAATCTCAGCAGGTCTGGCAGCATCTGTGGAGAAAAAGCTGAGTTAACATTTCGTGTCCAGTGAGCCTCCTTTATTCCAAAGAAGTAACACTGAGTGAGACAGAGGTAGATGGAAAGCATGCTGTAGAATGAGGGTGATCACCTGACAGAGGAAGTGTAGTTCGAGGAGGAACAGCAGAATCAGTCCTTGGTAAGGAGCTGCCTTATTGTCCATTTCGCATATGATGCATTGCCAACATGTTTCAGTTTTTTTTAAGACTGCCAACAGTGAAATTTTTTTTTTGATTTATGGAAAAAGATGGAGAAATACCATGGAAGAACAGGAGCATTTACAAAGTAAGATCAAAGGATAGATTTGGATTTAAGGTTATGAAAAAGCCTTACATTTACTTTATTTTGTTAAAGATGGAGAAAAATTACTTTATTCTTTTCTTCATCGAAAACCTTCTTGAAGTATTCAAGATTGAACATGACATTAATGGTGAGAAATACCTGCACATTAATGTTTTTGGCAACTGCACCTTTCATGAATTTTCCAGGTTATGCCTGTGATCCGTTATCAACCTGACTATGTCTGTGGAAATTTACTCCAAATGAGTCATTGTCCTTAAGACAGGAAAGAGAACATTTCCTGTTTTGGGTATGCAAACTGGCTGACTCTATTATGCTCATTGTGCATACTTTAA